ATGCCGTTAGAGTGGGAGCTCACAGCTCGATTTTCAAGGTCTGACGTTGAATGACGACAAGATTGGGAAATAATCTCCATCATCTCCATCATCATCTCCATCATCATCATCATCTCCATCATCATCATCATCTCCATCATCATCATCATCTCCATCATCATCATCTCCATCATCATCATCATCGTCATCATCGTCGTCGTCGTCATCATCATCATCGTCATCAGCACCACCACCCATGTTCTACCTGTGAAGATGTAAAAGAATAATCTTGAAGCTCCGAGACAGCTCTCGAGAAGAGAAAAGTCTCCGCTCTCTTCTCATCACCTAAATTCATGCATGTCACTACAAAACCATCCGCACCCCCAACCTGCTCACAATCCCACAATCTTGTCACTTCACCGAACCGGCCGATCGCGTGAGGAGCAGAAACAATGTCTCGTGGAGAACAGACGCTCCCACCTGGATCAGAGCTCAAAACTTCCTCTTCCACCCCATTCTCTTTCTCACTGCAAGCTTGAGCAAGGTGCGAGTTGGTCGTCGAGAGGAACTCCAACTCGCTGTCCACGTACTGCCGAAGCTCGTCTTCTTCCATTGGCGGCGAGCAGACGACAGCAACAACGTCCGAGTCCCTCGTCCTCATTTCTCCTTCTACCTCCCTCAGCTTCCACAGGGAGTCCACGTGGAGCAGGAACAGGAATCTCTTCAAAGGATCAGCGACCGATCGCACCACGACAGCCTCGGAGACGACCCGCAGCTCTTGTCCCCCATCATGGAACACCAGGGAGACCCGCAGGCTTGCTGTGCCTTCCTTGATGCCCCTCAACTTGGCATGGACCATCAAAGGACAGGAGGCATTGGTGGTTTGCCAATCCTCGAAGGGGAGGGAGACTGCAGCTCCCTCCATGCTCACCAGCAGCTCTGCGACCTTCCCTGGGCAGTTGGAACAGGCTCGGACGTCCACGAGGGAGGGAGGGACCTGGCTGAAGGCTCTGGGGTGTAGGACTGTGATGAAGCATCCTGCACTTTCCTCATGCAAGTCACTGGACACTGACATCGCGAACATTAGCAGCAGGAGCCAAGATGTGCGAGTCTTCATTCGAGTTCGCATCTGTTGATCACCAGCCTTGATACATTCCACTCCCAATCCTCCCGACACTGCTCTGCAGAATCATGTGTGTGCTCGTATATGTCTTCCCGCCCGAATCTTAGCAACAGGCATGCGGCACATCTCGCCACTTGGTGATGTTGCCCATCGATCAGCAGCTGCGATTCAGCTCTCACTGCCTGCCAGCACTTTAGGAGCCCAACAGCTTTGACACATCAACCTTCATTGACTGACTCCTTCTCCTTCTCCTTCTCCTTCTCCCTCTCCTTCTCCTTCTCCTTCTCCTTCTCCTTCTCCTTCTCCCTCTCCCTCTCCCTCTCCTTCTCTCTCTCCTCTCCTCTCCTCTCCTCTCCTCTCTCTCTCTCCTCTCCTCTCCTCTCCTCTCCCTCTCCCTCTCCTCTCCTCTCCTCTCCTCTCCCTCTCCCTCTCCCTCTCCTTCTCCCTCTCCTTCTCCTTCTCCTTCTCCTTCTCCTACTTCTCCTTCTCCTCGTTCTCCTACCCTCCTTCTTCGCTTTCTTCTTCTCATTGTCCTGGTCCTGATCTACCTCATCGTCTCTCTCCTCCTTCCCTACTTTCCTTCCCGCACATCTTCTTCACTGCCATAGTCTCGATCTCCATCGCTGAGCACGTATGGCCTTTGATTTACTAGCCGCATCCCGTTGATCCCACCCCCACTTTCCCTCTGCTTTCAGTACTAATGAGGGGTGGGGTCATTGCCCCTCTTTCACCCCCAATATTTTCTTTGCCTCCCGCCTCTAGCCCGTCCTATCTCATGCTTCGTCCCGCCATGGCAGTCCTGCCGCCTCTCCGCCGCGACCTCCTCCTCCCACTACGCCTGCCTGCATGATTTGACCTGTTTCTCCCCCTTCCTTCCTCCCTTCCGTCCTCTCCTTGTGCTGCCAACCAGCCAGTGCGCCTGACCGTATGCGTCCCTGCCAAAAGGGTACAGCCTGTCTCTATCGAGTTCCAGCTAGTCGTGCTGTCTCTCGATAACCCTTTTCCTCTTTCTTCCACTATCTCCATGCTTGTGCGTCTGCGTTTCTTCAATTCCGGCTCTCTCTTTCTCATTGTCCTTCCAATCCATTCTCCGTGCCCTTCATTTCTGTTGCGCACGCGCGTTCTCCCAAGGCTGCTTTCTTTAGCCACCAAGGCAGCATTCCTCCTCTCATTCATGCAGGGACACCTGTGTAAATTTGGTGTTGTCTTGTGGTCTTCCTTGTCCCTTTCTCTCAACAGCTTTGTACGCCACTGCATCTTCACAACGCCATGCCCTCTGAAAACACTTTGCCTGAGAAAAGATGCTATAGTTGAAACGAGTGTTGACAACGGCAACAAAACGTTGTCCAAACAGTCTCCATTTTGCCATCACTTGCTCTTGATCTGACCCTTCATCGTCCACTAGGCAAAACAGAACAACATGGCGACTGAAACTTCGAGCGAGCGGCGATCTAGGGGTTCTTGCGACCACTTGCTCGATCTTCCTTCCAGCGGGCTGTTGGTGACGTTTGAACCCGACCAGAACGAGGTGAGAGAGACAGAGACATAGAGGGAGAGGGAGAGAGGGAGAGGAGGAGCAGGAAAATGGCGAACCCTTACGATCACTCCCTCACAGTTCAAGGTCATGGTGGGCCCCTCCTACGTTTGTACCCATGACACCTCTCCTCCCAACGGTGATTGCTCGATGTCTAGGGAAGCTGTGCTCACTCACAACATCACAGGACAACGGATTCTGTCTGAAGATCGGCATACGATGGTCCGTCGCTTTGCTGGTATGTTTGTGGTACGATGCGAGGTTTTGATCTGAGATGTTGTTTTGCATCACATTAGGCCAGTACAAGTTGGATCGAGAGGTAACCTTTTCACTTTGGTTGCACGTGGTTGTGATCAGGTTTTTAGCAGATTCCAAGCAAGAGATCTGCTGGGTGAGGAGTTTCCGCGTCCTGTCTGTAATGTGCTCTCAATGCTCATTAACGCGGTTACAGGGGCGGGGAACATATGCGGGAGCTGGGGATAAAGCTTAGGAAGCTTAGCTAATTATTCTTACTGTAAATGCTGTCAATAGAGTGGGAAATTACTGAATGCGGACACAGGAAATTCACAAACAATTTTTTTATTTTTCACAATTTTTCATGAGCAATCCTCGCTGATTCCAATACAACTATTCCTTACTGAAGAGACTTGAAGTTTCCGAGCTGCTCAAGCACGGTCTGCTTGGTGACCCAGTACTGGTGGATGAATCCTCCGATGGCGATCATGGCAAGGCGGGAGTGCTTGATCTCAGCAAGGCGGTACCTCTCGAGGGTGGCCTCGTCCTTGGCAAGGCCGAGGGGATCGAAGGCAAAGTCACCAGGCTCACGCTTGCCCTGAAGGGTCTCGAAGAGAGCAACAACACCGAAGATCTCGACAAAGGAGATCCAGAAGATGATCTGGGATCCTCCGCCCTGCTGGACGAAGTAGTCGTGGGCATCAACGGGAGCCATCTTGGGGAAGAAGGGGAAGGTGTAGAGCTCCTGGACGATGAATCCAAGAACGGCAAGCATGGCAAAGCGTCCGTGCTTCAACTCAGCCTCGCGGAGAACGCGAAGATCGAAGACATCGGAAAAGCCCTTCGGGTGACAGTCAGCAATCAGTTAGTGTGAACATCTCGTTGACACTCACAAGGGGGTCGAAGCCAACGTCACCAACGTAGGATCCATCGAGGTTGGATGGGCGCTTGAGGAAAGGAACAGCAGCAGAGAAGTCACCAGACTGCATCTTGAGGCTCTTGACGGCCGCTGGCAGAGTTAAGTTAGGAAATAGTACATGGAATGTCGTAATAAAACACGTAGGCACTGGCAACTCGACAAAAAGGCAACAAAACTGCATCACTCGACAACAGAAAAGAAGATCAAAGATAACGTCAACAATCCGCAGTATTAAGTTGTTTCCAAACATGTCAAGCAGCTGCACCATCACAAGATCCCGCGTCCACTCCCTCCCCCGTACGGTCGTCCAATCAGGTCACAAGTCTCAAGATCACAGAAACTATGCGAGAAGGCTGTATATCGTATCAATCCATTGCTTACCAGTGCGGGCCTTCATGGGGGCGAAGGCCGCAGGGGCGAAGGCAGAGGCGGAGGCGACCGCGGCGGCGAGGACTGCTGCGCGAAGCATGGCGCTGGCTTGGGGGAGGCGCCTCCCCCTCCCCCTTTAAACAAGAAACATTTCCCCCACCCTACCCTTCTTTGATTCCACCCCTTCAAAAAAATTACCCACCCATCTAGAATCAGTACAATTTAGATGTTACACCGGTACTTTATTATAAAGTACTTCAACCCTACCCATGCTCTTTGATTTTTGTTTTACCCCTACCTACCCCCTTTCCCACGAGACTACCCCCATTGCCACCCCCCACCCCCATAAAAGGCCCTCAGCCCCATCGCCCCCCGAGGAAACCCGTCAAGAAAACGTGATAGCGACATCAGGGGGTAGGGGTAACTACCTATACCCCTAGAGCTAGTCAATATTTATGTCGATTGAGGGTACACTACCCTACCAATCGTAAGGCAATAAGACATCCCGTAATTTCATACACACAATCTTCAAAATCCAACTGAAATTGAAAAATTCAGGAGCAGATTCGTGAAAATGTGAAATAAATCTTGAAATATTTTCAGCACCCCATAAACCTCTTACAAAACCACCCCCTGAAGCTCACAGACATCTCCCCGGCCATCATCACGCCGCCAGTGATCCGGGAGCTTGTGACTGCTCGGCCCAAATCGCCAGGGTACAGGCATGTAGCGGAATTCCTATTCCCTTTCCTATGAAATCAAATGTTCACAATGATGACCTCAATCATGACTGTGCGGCTCAGCTGGTTGAACTACTACTCGTCACACTAAAATAACTAGATGAGTAGACTCCGGCGAGGCTTGACCCTGCGGCCGTGATCGGACACTCGACTCAGTCGCACACGGCGAGAAGAGAAAAGACAGTGAGAGCCGGAACTTAAGGCTTAACATGGCCACTGGCCGGCGGCTTAGCCTAGTAGCGCCCCGGCCACTGAGCTGTCAGTGTCGGCCCGGGCGGCGGTGGCGCCCGGCGCCCCCGGGCCCGGCCGGGCCCGGCCGGCCGCCGGCCGCTGGCCGGGGCCGCACTGATCGGCCCGAAGCGGCCCGCTGACGGCGGAGCCCGGCGGCCGCCGGCCGTGTACGATCAGTACGCGGCAGCCGGTGACCTCATAGACACTCTGTGAGCCTGAGTCACCGGCCCGTCGCGGCAAGTCTGGCCAGTGTCAGACACTGTGACAGTTACACAAAGTAACGGACATCGCCGGGTCGGACGGTCGCTGCGGCAGAAGTTCTAGAAATCGGTTGACCCTATACAGTCACAGAACGGTACTGATAATAGTACGAGAATTTATCTAAAAAACTTTTATGTGGAAGTATTTGAAGAAGCTTTTGTAGCAATCTAATCATATCGCTACCATTCTTTATTGTTGTGGTACAAAATGTACTGTCCATAAAATCTAAAACTCGCAGTACTAAATAAAAAAGGCGGGAAACCGCATGATGTCAACAAGTGCAGTGAAAGACCAAGAGAAGAGGAGAGAAGAGGAGAGGAGGTCGAGGAGGAGGAGGAGGAGGAGGAGGAGGAGGAGGAGGAGGAGGAGAGAGAGAGAGAGAGCCCAAAAGAGCCGAGAGGAGAGACTAAAAAAGAGAGACCGAAGAGAGGTAGACCTAGGGGGAGAGAGATGGGAAAAAGAGGGGGAGAGAGCCCAGAAGAGGCCCGGAGGGGAGGGTGACCGGAGAGGAGAGAAGACCGAAGGGAGAGACGGGGGGGGCCTAAAGGAGGAGACCCTGCCCTCCCCTGGGCAAAACTGGGGGGGGTTTTTTTGTTTTTTCAAAAGGAAAAAACTTGTTTTTACGGGGGAAAATTCAGGGCCAGAATAAATTGTGGCCCTTTTTTTTAAAAA